CTCTCGCAACTTATGTATCTAATGACTGTCTTAGAAAAGCCAAACCATGCGTCCTTAAAGGAGACAGAAACAATGATATACCGGTTCATTTGGAACCGATCTCAAGATAGAATTAAACGGTCGGTGATGAAAAACCATCTTTTCGTGCGAAGACTGAGGGTGCCCGATCATCAGTACAGGCAAACAGTCTTAATATGGCCTGTATAAAGAAGCTGCATCATCCAGAGTACAACGATAAATGGAAGAAAATACTGCAACACAAAAAAATGCCGTAATATCATTACTACACCGCGATACCAATCCCCCCCAAAATATTAAATCTACTAGATGGACGTAAGTTTTGGTCAGAAGCATTAATTGCTTGGATGTAAATCGTACACTTGTTACAGCCCAAACTCTCGGGACCAAACATACCGGCCAAAGTCATATGGAATAGCACTGATATGAACTTGGAACACAATGTATCATTGAACAAGCACGAACTGATCCACAGTTCACTCGTTCAAATGAAAGACCTTCACAACCACCAGGACCGAAAGCTCCTTAACGCAGACCAATTGCAAATGCAATTCGGATATGGGCATTTTCTCACATGGCAGTCTATACTGCATTCTATACCCCGTTCTTGGAAGGAAATGCTCGTACAGGAAAAGCCCACCAATGTAGACCTTCGATGCGCTTATGTGCAGATTAGCAAGGGCGTGGAAACAGCGAAGTGGGGATATAGTGAGCTCCTATCCTCGGCTCATGTTTCCCTACCTGACAAGGCTCAGACGAAATGGGAACTTAGGCTCGCACCTATGGGGAAAGAACAATGGACAAAAATGTACAAAGCTCTGTACGATACAACAAAGGACTTCAAACTAAGGTGGTTGCAATTTGGGATCATCCACAGGATCTTACCGACGAACCGCATATTACACCTCTATGGGGCCAAAGAGACGAATCAGCGTCCGGGCTGCCAGAGCCATAACGAGGATATACCACATGTGTTCTGGTTCTGCCCTGCGTCGCTAACTTTCTGGACTGGCTTGAGCACGCGAGTGCGACTCTACAGATAATTCACTATATATGACCTCAGCACTAGCCTTTACAATCCTGTCTTTCCGGTCGGGACACTTACCGAGTCCGCTATTCGACTGGGCTTGCTATTGGGCAAGCAGTACATATGGCAGTGTCACAATGCATCGTGTGACCCATATAGCCGAGGTTTCTTTGGGCTTATTCAAAGGTACTCCGATGTAGAGGGGCACGTGGCTGTGAGCACCAACACGATCCACACTTATAACCAGACGTGGTCTGTGATCCTGGAGACTGGCTGTGCTCTCAGCTGGTTGAGCAGCACGTTAGCGGAGGGGCACTTAAATCGTGCAGATGAGGCAGTTAGCGATAAACCACCGTTAGTACCGGGCACATTGCCATTGGCGTTCGATTGCGTATGCGCATGTGGAAGCGTGCTAGTGAGTGTCTATGCTATCATTCTGCATGCCGTCATTACCCGCGCCGATTCTCTGCCGTGCCCCCCCCCCCCCCCCCGCTCGGCCCTTCAGAGGGAGCTGCGGGACCGGGCTGCCGGCTGGGGGCGAGGCTGACTGTCCCTGCCGCCTAGCGGCGTCTACAGCTGGCCGGCTCGCGCGCTCGCGCGACCGGCGGACGGCGCATGTTGCTCTGCGGAGGTTGCCGCGGTGGCTCACGGGGCGGCGCTCACGGCGTGAGGGGACGTTGTTGCGACCCAGGGCGGCGCGCGTGTTGTCATGTATCATTGTGTGGATGTTTGAATTCAAAACAAGTAGAAATGTAAACGTTGGGACGCTCGAGAATTACTAAAATGTGATCGAGAACAAAAGTTATGCATCAATATTCAAGACTTACTACCTGGCAAAAAATTGCTCGGCTAATAATGCTCAGCCTACGCGTTCCAAAACTTGAAGAGGTAAGGCGGGCATGCGAAACTTCATGAAAAATTTTAGGTTAGAGTTCAATAAAATGTCGTTTGATGAAGCTCAAAATGTGTACTCGGATACCAGTCACCAAAGGTCTTAAAACATTGAGTTTAAGCATATGATATCTTGCGGAGTTATGTATGCTCAACTTAACTTTTCGTAGTTAAAGATGCATGGGCCAAGTTGCATTAGCCTGTCGATTTTTAGGCTAATTGTGGCAGTCCGAGATGTCGAGAGACGGTTTGACATATATATGCTGCTAGCTTGACAGGTGCAGTATTGGGGCTAAAAGTATGGGTTGGGGCCAAGGTACTGCCAACATCTTGTCCAACCATGTACAGTGTGAGCCTGGTTATTCGTCATTATCACCCGCACTTGAAATTGGCACTTGCCAATATTTTTGGCGTGAATACGGGGGAGCAGGGTACACCATTCATACGTCTGAACGCCAACTGAGGGCTCAACCCTCACCCTGACTCGCTGTTCTTCATAACACGAACTCTGATGAAGGAAGGAATGGGGGAGGGGGGGGGGGGGGGAATCGACGCGACCCATCCCGCCACGGAAGTCACACAAACATGTCAACTGTTTCATTCTGAGCATGTCATCTGTTTTGAGCATATCTGTATAACGTAGGGCTCTAATACTATACCAGTTGACGTTCCCGCTGCCGCGAACAGTGGCTTTGTCAGTTGCCGCCCGCCGCCCGCGCCGGCAGAAGATTGCCATGCAGTGTTCTTAGAACGGTCACTTTTCAGAAGCCAGATGCTATGGACACATTTTTGTATCCAAATACGCGTAATGAATGCGCCAAATGACACAGGAAACTTGGGCAGATTGCACAACATGCCAGAAACCTATCCTCAAAAACCTCAGGGAAGGGACGGGTGCCTAAACGGTATTCTCCACCTCATCGACCCTTTATAAGGTTGACTTAGCTAGTTTAGGAGCCCATGAAGTGAAAAACATGCATAAGTCATAGCGATGCGTCTGCCTGGATAGCCAGCTCTTGTGTCAGCACCTAAGCTAGCCCAGGGGCTGGCGCCGCCCCTGGAAGTGCTTCCTTCACTTTGTTCCTGTCGGGCTTGAACGCAGGGATAAAATCTAGGCCTTTTTCGGGATGGAGTAGTTGAAATTTCAAAGTGCGTTCAGATCCCTTCTGCAATAAAATGCTTCGAACGAGCCCTGGCTCTTAAAATTTTGAATAGGCGCTACATGTTGGCGGGCACGAAACCGTGTCGTATTGTGCGTCTTGTCTTGATTTCATTGATAAATAATAACGAGGCGGTGGCCAGTATGCGCGCGTTTCACGGTGCACCTAGGCACGATTCTGCCCAGCAAATCTTGCAAATCTTAAGCGATGTGAATAATCTAAACAGCACTTTTATACACGTCAAACTTTATTTCGCGAACTCATGTAGCGCTTTAAGTTTGCGGAGACCCGTAACCATGATAACGGTAACAATAGCAATGTATTTTGTAGAGGTATGAAATAAGCACAACCGAAATGTTTGGGCATGCAACAGAAGTATATGCTAGATTGCTCCGGCTTAACTCCGTTATATATTTGAATAGCAAAGGTCAGTCAATATCTTACAGCATTTACTAAGTTTTTGAATTGTATTACAATAATTTTTAGAAGGCCGTACTATTGAGGAAAGCTGCGTCAGCCCAGCAGTCCAGCCGATAAGACGCCGCATCCAGTAAAACATCTAATCCCTGCGCGTGCGTCATTGGTTGCCAAGTCCACATAACCTGTAGGCCCAGTGACTGTGGTTTGACTTCAACACTCGCTGGTGGCGACCATCGCCCTTTGAGCGGCGAATTGGCGAGCAGCCAGTGCCTTTGAACGACGCGGAAATGTGGAACTGCATCCCTTTATTGCAGTTCAAGCTTTGACGAGGGAGTGCACAGAGTGACGAGTAAGCGGCTGGCAAATGCAGGCTATACATCTGTGTATGCGGTGCTGTAAATCTCCACCACGATCCTTGTAAGAGTTTCGACGACAGGGCATTACATTCCGCCCTGTGCTTTAAAATTACGACATTCCCGATAAGTCTGACAATTACTGGCGCAATCAAGTATCGCACAAACTCGTATTGTCCACATGAATTGCAGACGGTACGATGATCGACGCTTTGAAATTGGATTCACGGCCTCCAACCTCCCAGGCTCCCAAGGTATGGTATAAACCGTGAAAACGGTCAAAAACAAGCAAATTCGTCATGGCCGCTGCTGTGTATATGACACGGGACGCGTCAACATAGCATTTCTGGTGCATGATGAAAAACCGCAGATCAGGGCCATTTTTCCTCATAAAACGATTTAACCGTTCACATATTTAATATGAGCGACAAAACATATTTTGATTATTGATGTATAATGCGACCTAACATCAGCTGTGTTGGTGGTCTTGTTTGACCTGGTGTAGGATGACTGACTATCAGTGAGATGTACTCAAACTAGTCGATAGATTACATCAAAGTAATGAAAAACGAGCCAAGTAGTTGTGCATTGCTGTCTTTACTGCGAAATTCGAAATAACAGTGCTGGTCTTGATTAATTACGCTATAATATCGTGACCCAACCCAAATTATTAAAGAGCTCAATGCAAAAGGTGCTGAATTGATCAAATGGCATCGGGTTACAAGTTGTTGGACCTTGCTAAAACGGTCCGAAAGACGTTCTAGAAAATCGGGTGTGATTTCCTTTTAGTGCCTTGATAGTCGCCGGAAAAAAAACATGCAGACAAGTCTTTCTCACGCTCAAGTTTTTACACCTATACCAGAGTGCCTACTTTCCAAACGCGTCGACGCCCAGCCTCCACCAAATGCGAGTTATTGTAATTTTGGTTATCATCCAATGGTCGCCATGCTGCGCATCACATGTCAAGGGGTGAAATCAGGTCCGTCCGATGGCCGGCACAGGGGATTCCCAGCTGAATCAGAAATGTCGCACAAAGTTCACATGATGTAACCGCCTAGTCATCGGCACTCGGGTGCACATCGGCACCCGTGCGAAGCGACTACCCGGGCCGCTGACAGTTGGGCTCCAAAAGGCAGCAGATCCCCTGTGGAACCTGAGCTCCATCGAGTTGGCTCCAGCTGCTGATTGGCTGCTGTTCTGGTCGTGGTTTTGACGACCTGAGTAGTTGGAGGTCATAAATTCACGTTTTTACGTCAGTCTTCATCCACAAGCCATCGCTTTGAAGTCATGTTGCGTTCAAAGCAAGGTACGTCCAAACACGTTTTAGTGTGTGCACGGTTATATTGGCTGTAACACTCGGATGGGCACGACGACGTGGAGAGGAAAAATATCTTCCAGCTCGAGGAGTAAAGCAGGGGCGTAGTTTCGTAACTGAGTTGTAGAGCTGAGCAGTAAAAAAGTAAAAATAGCAGGAAACCTTCCCTTAAATCGCCGACAAACGGGTTTCTCCACGGTTTACGCCCACCCCTCTCGCACTGTTCGGTGAAGGAGGGGGGTAGGGTGGGGTGAAAGGCTGCAGCCCCCAACTGAATAGGAAAATACACCCCTGTCTATGTTATTGCTATGCTAGAGGCAGGAAATAGAGAGCAAGAATAAATGCCAATACGTATAGTCGGGACGCTTTACAGAAAGACGTGGCCAGAGTCACTCAGTGTAGTCGAGTCAAATGGTTAGAAGAAGACAAACATCGACGATAGATTTCCTGAAGCTCCAGTAAGGAATAGAGGGCACAGAGCAATAAGTCAACATGCCGACCACATCGATAGCGAACGCTGGCAGTGAGTATGCATCACCAAGTTGTTCCGAATGTTTCAAAGATCCGTATGAATCAAAGCGAGAAGGTAACAGGTGACGCAGCAAGTAGGGTGAGGGAAAACTTTTGCCATCACCTGTCCATTATTAAATGACGGAAAATAAGACCCGCAGTTCATTCGGTTCCACAAGGGTTTCTTAATCTGTGACGCAGCGTAGATCGTAATGGTTGCTTAGGGTGTAAATCACGCAGTTAAAACTGGGTACCGGTCGCGGCGCAAACGCGCCGGAAATTGACGTGTATTAACATGAGATCAACCAGAGGCTGCTCTCATACAAGAGGCCAGTAGCATTATCCAATATAGTACTCAAGATTGCAGCCAAAGTGCTAACCAAGCAAAACGAGCTAATTATTGCCGAGTTGGTGCACTAGAGCAGACAGGCCTCATGCGAGGCGCGAGTATTGGTCACAACCCCGGGCTCATCTCAGATATTACGTGCCGTTGCAACGAGCATGATTTACCAGGCATATTGACGTGTGTCAATTTGCAGCCGCGATTGATTCAGTCAAATATAACTTTCTTCCTGGAACCGTTGATTGTTTTTTGTTTCGGAGATCATTCATACGCTGGGCGAGGTTACGAGCGCTACTGATTCATACGCTGAGTGAGGTCACGTGCACTATTGATTCATACGCTGGGTAAGTCTGGGCACGCTGGTTTTCGCATTTGGCGGCAGCTTTTCCCGATTCCCGCAGAAACTGTTTCCAGAAACCAACCAATCCGGCAGCACCTTGCTTGAAAACTATGATCTTGTTTTCCGTGGAGAGATATGCCTCCGAAAATCAAGAGGGATATCTTCTGTGTGGGAGACCGTAACGGAGAACGAGCGTAGCCAGCCTCGTCAAATAGAAAGCGAGCAGCACCCAGTCCTCATGAACAGTAACGATGCAGGAGAAATTGGGCCGATTTACCGTCGTTGACGCCAATATCGCACTGCCTCCACCCACGTCGTAACATTGGTGCGCATCTCGACGCTTCACAGTGTGCGACGCTTTTTCCTTGAATTGACCGCCTCGTCTATTGGTATCTGCCCACGCAAATTTTTGACATCGACCTTGAACACGATGGTTCCCGGCGGTACCCTTCCGGAGTACGCCGATCGCAAGTGTTGGAGGTGCGCGTCTGTATTCGGTAGGTGTATGGGTGCGTGAGGGATAAGGTGAGAGGTGATCTGTTCCAGTAGCGTGGTTCACGCATCAGTCGGGTCACCGCACGGAGAAACAATAGGGCGGAGCGGCACGTCGAGCTTGTGATTTCCTGGGAGCCCGTGTAGCTCAGCACTGCGGCGGTGCGATACTGGAAGCACTGCGTTAGTAAGATGTTTGTCGACTTTGTGCATCATGGTGGCTTTGATGACCCGTTTGGTCTAAGACTCGAACTTGGTTGTTGGATGACTTACAAGTTACTCGTGAAAAGGACCGTTTGGTTTGGATATTGATCTGTCCTGTAAAAATGTGAAAGAAAACGCCATTTAGTGAATGCAGTTATGCTAATGCTGATAAGTGGTTCAGGTTAATACATTGTATGAATATCTAAAACTTGTTTTGGCATTAGTTTGAGGCTGTCCTAAGAATTTCTTTATTGGCAGCTATGTCCTGACTTGAGTCTATTCTAGGTCAGCGACCATAAAAGGTATGTCTTAATACATCAGACCACAAGGTTGACTTACATCCCTGGAAACCAAAAAGCATTCCTTTTGAGGAAGATCTGCAGCGTTTGTCTAAGCCGATGCCCCTATATTCACCTCGCATTATATCTTCCCGATATTCCCCATTATGCCCATAACATTCCGAGCCAGGCAAAAATTAACCCCTTGTTATGTCTCTGCAATTCTTTATTATGCGTAGGGACATTCAATGTTTTGAGCCTCCAATATCATATATTGTTCGCAGCTACCTACATCATGCTGATAATACACCATCATAAAAATACCTGTTCCTGCTAGATGTTCCCACAGTGTTCCCATATGTTTCTTGACTCTTCATTCATATCCCTGAAGTTCCTCGCCCACGCCACTCACGGTTTTATGCATATTTCACGTAGAGCAGCCAGTCAGCCCCTTAAAGCAATATCCCAAACCTCCAGGTCCATGTATTATTGGAGTACACAAATAAAACCCCATTTTCACCCCATGGTGAGCAATGAAAAGCTGCACATAAATTCTGCATGTATTTCTACCCATTTTCAGACATCAGGCTTTCAACGGTCGCATTAATATACCGGGCAAGTATTCTTCGACGAGACACGAAAACTCAGACCACTAGACAACCACGGCCATATAGGAGATGACATGAAAAAGATGTATTAACAAATCCTAAAAGCACACCAACATCATCATCAGCTTGACATCCCGTGGTGAGTTGCGTTCCAAAGAGACCCCAAGCTACAGGCAATGATTGTCATTTACCCGTCCAGATGGCCAACTGCCACGCTAGTCCATTACTGATCGACTGTTGCGATGGAAAATGGTGCAAACCATGACAGTTCGACGTTCTCAGTTGGCGTTTTTAAGCCTTCTGGGGGATTGAAACATGCCAAAAGTAATGCATGATTTTGGCAAGGCGCACTGTTTATTTTCGTGCACTCTCACTGCACAAACAATTCCACAAACTCACAACGGCTCCAAACCAGAGCTTCTAATGCAATTCATGCTAAACGACTAAACTTTCACGGCATGACTTCTAACGCAAATACTTCGTCTCACGTAACTTCAAACTTTTATGGGAAAACACTTCTGGTGCAAAAACTTCTACACGATGTCACTTCCAATGCAGGAACTTCTAACGCATACACTGCTTGGCGAAAAAAAGCTTCTGGCTCATGAGCTTGCAACGCGAATAGCCTTAGTGGGCTCCCACTGAATTACGAGAAGTGTGTTCCAAAGTTCGAACCTTAGGTTTCTCGCGGACAAAGCTTCCTTACCGCCTCTGCGAGGTCTGGGTCCCTTTTCCATACCAGGGTTCTCAGCTCACTACCGCGACCAGGGCCTGGTAACTGGTGGCTTTACCAGTAGGTCAGAACTAGGAACTGACCTATAAGTCAGTTGTTTCACCGTCACGGGGTCCCAAGTGACGCTGCGATCCTCTAAATAACATTCTGGGTTCCTGGATCCTCCCCAGTTTGACAAATAGACCCAGTGGCTTGCACGACCCTGATCGATACCGAATGAAACCACTTTGTTTAGTGCCAGGGGCCCCTGATCCACAGAGCAGCCCTCTCATTGTCTTATGGTGGGCGCGTAGTTTCGCAGAATGAATAGGAGTGTGTGTGGGGGGGGGGGGGGGGGGGAGGAGGCTGAGCAATGACACATGTGTCGTAACGTGCACCCAAAATACGGTGTCAAGCGGGGTTCTCCCTGAATTTTGCCCACTTTAGTCACAAAGATTCCAGGTTGTAGCCCAAGATGGAGGGGGGGGGGGGGGGGGGAGGGTAGCTGGCACGTAATGTGAAATCAAACTGCGCATAGGAATTTCAGTAGAAACCATGTTCAAAATATGAAATGATTTCCATAACAGCAATTGCAGGCGCTGGACGTGCACTAATGTTGCGTATTGAGGCCTATGCAGACATCTATAACTTAAAGGTGCGTCTATCTTTATGAGTACAGATCAATGTCATACCCTGTTCCATAACAATGTTTCCTCCCGGGATGTCGGAAGTGTGGAGAAAACGGGGATTGACATTCCTTGCGAGAAGCCGTGTCGCGTGAAATTTCATACGTTAGAGTATGTCGTGTGGAAGTTAGTACATTATGCATTATTGGATAAGTAATTATTTTCCTTCTAATTAATTCGAAGTTTTGTAATATAACTTAAATTTGTTAGAACTCATGCCTCGTACAAGCAATGTTGCGCAGAAGCTTTGCTTTAGAGTTCAATCGTATGATATTTTAGGCCTTAGAAGTTTTTCATCAGAAGTAATGTTGCGCATAAGATTTTACGTAAGGCAATATGTCGTATGAAATGAATTATGTGCAGAGGTTTTTCATGAGACCATTTCTTGCATAGAACATTATACGTCAGAAGTTTCTGCATTTGATGTGGTATCGTAAGAAGTTTTTGCGTCAGAAGTTTTGTCGCGTAGAAGTATTGTGATGAAGCCCTTGTATTAGATGTTGTATTGCGAAGAAGTTTATGCGCTAAAAGTTAATGCTTTAGAAGTGAGGTCAGGGGTAAATTTTGCCCGAAATGATTTGCCGCGTGAATGTAATATAGAAATAAAGATAGAAATAAAAATAAAAATAGAAATAAACATAAAGAAATGACGTAGTGTAGATGTTAGCAGTTCTGCAGTTGTTTAGTGCAAATTTACAGGTTGAAAACCTTGCATTAGGAGAAATGTCACGTACATAGTACGTGTCGCGTACGTAAGTCTGTTGTCAGCAATGTTTGCGTCAGCGTGATTGTCGGCACACCCTCATAACACCACAATAAGACCCTTCACTTGGTATTTTCTCTAATGTTGTTGGCGTGTTTGGGCGGTTGATCAACATTGTAGTTAACAGGATGTCCGCGTCTGTATAGTGACGCAGGTGGCCATAACTATTCCTGTATAGTGACGCAGGTGGCCATAAACATCCTGCGACATGACGGTCGAACTTCCTAAGCTTTCGAGGGCAACAAACACTTATCCTACCTCGTTTATCGCATCCTAACTCTCGTGTAAGATGTCTGTAACGGGTAAGGAACGGGTCTTGCTGATGTCAGTGCCAGCAAAATATTGGTGACGATTTTTCGCGTCAATCTCATTCCTGTCCAGATTCTCTTCACGGTGCTGTATTGCGTCGGCGACCGAGCACCTGTTGCGTACAGAATAACATCACTTGTTTATCATCTTGTTTTCAGGACCCACATTAATTTTACTGACGGTGGCTACATTAGGTGGAGCCTGTGTCCCAAATGGTCTGGACTTAAAGCTGCTGAAGGCATTGACGGCTGATTTGAGCAAGAACCAGTCTATCGCCCCGTTCGTCATGTCTACGCTGATGACACAGGTCTGGCTGGGAGCCAGGGGCGACACCAGGAACGAGGTACGTGTACGGGTAACAAGCTCTTCACACGGCACTGCTAACTCAAATTAGCTAGCCAGCTGGATTAGTCCAGGGCACGTACGTGGATGGAGCATGCTGACAAAAGTGGTGGTAACAGACTGAGAGTCTTTAACCGCGATGTATTTAAAGAGGAAAGTTTAGGCGGCTACTGTCACCCCTGCCATACAACATCATGTAACCGCGTACACCAATCGGTGAAGCAAAGCTCCAAATACCTTTGTGTAATTCATTGAATGTTGTGATGTACTTGGTAAACAGTTTGCATGCGTATAGAATGTTTCACATGATTGACTTGTCTTCACAGTGTCTGACAATCGAACACCTGTGAGAACTTATGTGATAAATTTCTTTTTCAGGAGCGGGGAGTAACGCTCGGCATGTGTGTGCAATTTTTCTTACTTTGCTTCTAAACAACTATATTATATGTAATCCCATAAATACTTGATAACTTGTTAGGCAACGGCGTGTCTTATTGATTCATTTTTGGGATGCGTTGATGATTCATTTGTCTTGATCATTGTTTTTTTTAATAGCAGCATCCATGCCATTTGAGTAGCTGACTTCATTTTGGCTCAATGTCTCGCCCACAGATGACATCAGTCCTAGACATAAGGACAAACAATGGATGCAGCTTTTTGACGAGTTACAAACGTGCAATCAGTGACCTATCCCATGGTCCTAGTAACATCACTACCGGCGTCTTTAACCGGATTTACATCAAACACGGCTTCAGCATTAAGTCGGGATTTAAGGATGTTTTACGAGATTACTACTACGCTGACGTCAAGAAGTTTTCATCTGCGGCGAAGGCGGCAAAGGAAATAAACTCCGACGTGGCCAAAGCAACGAAAAACCGCATCAAGGATCTTGTGTCAGCGGGTGCTCTGCAGCAAGCGGTCATGGTCCTGGTCAGCGCATTGTACTTCAAGGGCCTGTGGCTGACCCAGTTCAATAAGACCGTGACCGAGCCGTTCCTGACGGCCTCAGGGGAGAAGTCGGTCGACATGATGAAGCTCAACACCAGTGTGCCGTACGTGAAAATGGCTGACTTTGATGCGATCTCCTTGTCGTACACGGACAAAAACTATGCTATGCTGATCCTACGTCCACTGACACGTAACATGGCTGCCGTTTCACGTCTAAGGGACTCCCTTGACTCCCTTGATGTCGCCAATATCATGAACAGGGTTCGTTCATCGCCCGTTGAAATCAGTTTGCCTCGTTTCAAGATAACAGCGAGTTACAAACTGAAGAAAACCATGTCTCAGTTGGGAATTCAAAGGCTCTTCACGGCTCAGGCAGATCTGGGTAATATTGCCGATGGGCCGCTAGCTGTCAGCGAAATAATCCACAAGGTGTTTATAGAAGTGACGGAGAAAGGTACGGAAGCTGCAGGAGCCGGAGCTGTCGTTGTCTTTGGCACGGGCGGCGTGCCACCTCCACCCGTCCAGTTCACTGCAGATCGTCCCTTCTTTGTCATTGTTTGCAACAAGAAACACAGGATCAACCTGTTCTCCGCGTACGTGGCGTCGCCATAGAATTATGGCTAATGTTTTGCGCACAATTTTCAGGCAAGTCGTGTGGTGCACGTTTGTGTCGTGTTGGGCATTTAAGCACGCTTTACGGGAATATGGCTGTGCCGCTGCATGTAACAGGGTCACGCACAAAAACTGCACAAATTTTGCAAACGTTTGTTGACTTCGGAGCTTGTCTTCCCGACCTAAGCTTGCAACATCCATACAGAAGTTTTGATGTAGATATTTAGGTGCCGATATTATGGCCACTATGCTGTAGGTTACTCCAGGCAGAACTGAGTGTTTTTTCCCTTGCGCTGTATCAGAGTGCCAGGAAATATATCTCTAGACTGGTTCTTGTCTATCTGCTACGTGCAAGTCCCATCTGAACCCATGTTAAATATCGCGTTGTATGTACGTTTGATGACAGACGCGCGGGGCACGGCGGCATGTAGCCTTACACGGGCACATCACTCGCCGGCACGCAGCGGCTACATCTTCCGCTCGAATCCCCACCTCCCAGGTGGAGCGCGCGATCTCGCACTGCCGACATGTGAGGAGTTTAGGTCACCCTTTACCACACGTCTCACCTACCGTACGTAACTTTCGTTCACGTACGCAAGCGATCGGCTGACCGGCCACGACCTGTTGACGTAGCCATCATGACATCCGGCGGAACGCCGCAGAACTAAAGCTGCTGGCACCCACCGCCAGTTAGTCACATACAGCACGCGATACCGTTAAAGCGAGTGTTTAACATTTTTATTGGGCTTTGAACCGAAAAAGATGTCTTAAAGATCATTCGGTGCGGTTCACAGCCCCGTCCTTCTTAAGACCTAATCCTCTCTAGTTCCTGAGCTGCACGCCCGCGAAGATCTGAAGGCTTTTTCGAGGAGATTGTTTCAAAGTCATCCAGGCATCCATGACGTCATAATAGTGCCATTTAAATCCTGCCATGCCAATGGTCATGTAGCAATCAAGGCCAAGGAAAATGCATTCGTCAAGCCGTTCATATCTGACGTTCGTGAGAACGATTTACAGATTAACGAACGTCAACTGGCTCTTAATCAATGTTGTAAAAGACACCATGACGTAATCAAACCAAAACACATTGGGCATCATATTTGCTAGAGAACTTGTGCGGTCTACAGCGGTCTTTTCCACTTAAAAACATGCCAATAGTTATAAGTGAGCATATGTCATCACAGTCGATGCGTGCTTAAATATCTTCAAGTGTAGAACACGCATTTAATAACAAAAAATAGGCATCATTGCACCATTTGAACACGTGCACATGGTCACCATGCACCCCTGGTCACGCGGAGCTAAACCTGTAAGTTTCGATGGGCTTGCGTCAGCGACAAGCCCACGATGATACCAATAACGACCTACGTCGCCAACCATTAGCCACTGAAGTCTAGCCCGGAGGGCCACGGAAATGCACTGGTTCAGGGGCGACAGAACGGTTACCTCGCAGGTGCGCCGAGCAGCAAAACATGGACGCAAAATGACCACAGAAGTCGGCGCGCCCTAAAATCCAATCATCATCATCATCATCATCATCATCATCATCATCATCACCTCCTCATCCTCATCATCATCCATCGTCATCGTCATCATCGGGGTAGTGGAGCGGACACAGCTGATACGCGCAGGACGCCGGGCCATCGGCAGCGGACGCCGGAGCGGCAGCAGCTCACACGGGATCAGCAGCGTCCACAGATCAGCAGCAGCACGGGACCCCAGATCGCGTCCGCTACGGTCCCGGCTACGACACTATGAGCTGCTCACAGAGGAGGAGTCACGCACAGCGCACTGAATTCAATAACACAACAGGTAATCACAACAACCAATGTAGCTGCCTTGAAAATGACGCACGACACGTTCGACGATAAATTCTAAAATGGAGCAGACACTCGTAGCTAGGCTCAGAACCACAGCGTCGTGCGGTTAGCTAAACCAGAGTGAAAAAAGGTTCACGTGGAACCTCCGCGGTAGAAAAGGCTGACTTGTGGCCTGGTTAAGGGTGAGTTACTGGTGGCAGGCAGGATCAAAGAGCGCACTTTTCCTAAGACTGTGATTTGCACATATAAACTGTGATCTGCTCTATCCCCGCTCTATCCCTTTCACAAAGAACTCCCAGCTCTAGTGACTTTGTTGTGGCCACTCAGAAGTCACCTGGTCGCCAAACAATTGCCAAGCATGCCAACCTGATCCTGTCAATCACATAATCCAGAAACCAACCTACTCCTCCAGCATTGCACGACGCATACCACACAAAAAGCCCGCGGCGCAAACTCTGAAACCTTAACACATCAGGGAGCAAACATGATGGGGGTTTCTTTACCCCAGTAGAGTGCATTGGCGCCGGCAAGGCTGACTCTGATGATGGTGTGATTGACAATGACGCAATGTTGAAGAAGCGCAATGTTGTCAGCCAAGCTGACTCTGCATAAGTAACTTTAAAACAATGATGTAGTAATACGATGCACGATAAGCTAATGGGTAATTTTTTTATAAGGTTGCCTTTAGACATCTTATCTCTTTGCGTAATGATAATGTCAATAAACTGCACCGGTAAAAATAATAACTACGCAATGAGGATGTCAAAGATAATGTTCGGTCATAGCTCATTTCTTGGCCCTCACCCTTATACGCTTTTCATAACGTGGACTGATTGGGGAGGGGAGAGCTGTTTTGAAACGAAAGGGAGATGAGTCTTGCAAAAAAGGATTGGTTTCAACGATGTCTCGTGTTTGCAGTAATTCTATGTTGCGAAGTCAATAATTGAGTCCATGAACTCAGGCCAAAAACCAAGTGTTCCCGAAACCCGCGGTTTTCCCTTTCATGTGCGCGTTGTATCAAGCCGTGCCTCGTGGTGGTACCACATCTGAACAGGTGTTTTTGTTAATTGCAAAAGCCATGATGTACAGTTAATGCTGTTTGAGCATATCCTCTTAATTTGTGCCTCCGTTAATAGTAAGTTTGATACTTATGCTCCTGTACTGAATTAATTCCAGTATTACGTTGCTGGTGCGTGGCTCAGTTATGACGGGCTAGATACGTGCGTGCTAAAGAGATTTCGCTTTGCTGCTAGGTCGTTACCTCTTGTTACCCAACCACAGTTAGTACAAGTGGTAGCAACTTATAATGTTATGGGTGATTATATGTGTAAGCTACCCAAATACTACTTAAGAAAGATGCGACTTTGTTTCATGAACGTCGCTGAAAGCATAAATGCTGCGTAACTCTAAACAGGATTGTCATATGACGAAAACGTTGCGGCGCCCGTAACCCGAAATAGCCAACCAGCCTCGCTAAAACGACTCGTTACACGAACATTCACCATCACATTCACATTCATTCACCATCCGTGTGGCCCAGACCGATTGATGATTAGATGATAGATACATAGATGATAGATTGATGGTTCTGGATTAGCGAAAAAAAACTGTCACAAAGATGAACCGTAAAGGCTAGGAATATTAACTTTGGGTGGTGAAGAAAACCATGAACACTGCAGTCATTTGTGATTTCGGACACTGCAGTTTTAACCACAAGCTATAGCTATAATATGACACAAAGCAGCACGCCTTAAACGGGAAAATGTGGATGTCACCTAAAGAAAAGTGAACTATCTGATAGCAAAGCCGTGGCGAGTGTCTTTTTGCATGTGGATGAAACCCTGCAAGAGCCCTTTCTCTAACATTAGAAGTGCCTCAGCATGCCATGCAATAGTACATGCGGCTTGTTACGCACCACTTATGGTAATAGTATGGCCACTGACTATGCGTGCTCATGCCTTACTCGGTACAGGCGACGCCTACGATTGAACCAAGCTGACGTACATATCGACGTTAAGCCCGCCAGCTACGTGTCAGCGCGGGCTGGCCGCGCGCTCAGACGTCGGGACCACGGAGACTTTTGACACGACCAGCAAGTGACAGTTTGATTCAAATGAAGCTCCCGAAACAGACATGGTGCTCATTCTAAAGTTTGTTATGTTTGTGACGCAGCTCATTTAATTTTTTTGTTTCATGATCTTTTGCTCGGTGTACGGCCCTCCAAGTCATTTTGCAACAGTTCGAGATAGATGCGACTCCAGGTGATGATTTCGGCTGTTCCAAATTTCGTCGGTGACAACAGGGGTGGTAGAAACGTATTTTGTATCGCTGACCAAATTTCTGCGACCAAAGTTGTCGCCAGCAGCTCAACGCGTGCTATATGACAATAAATGGTAATGACCTCCTTGCCCAGCAGCGTAATCAGAAATCGGCGTATCACCGAAAGCCTCTTTTGTCACCGCAACTTGCAATATCATGCACATGACCTGACACATTCATTTATACCATATTATTCCACTAATGCCAGCATATCTGTTGCTGCAAAGCATACAGGCACACCGGCCCTACACCATGGGATAGTTCAATCACAGGAGCAATCTTCCCTCACCCCCAGGACTTGCCGTGTCCTCACGTGTAAGTTCGATCTATGGCTGAACTTGCCATCCTCGACCGCGAAAGACATGGTGAAGGACCTCGACAACCAGGGCAGCTGAGTGCATGGTAAAATTGTAGCCGGTGGCAGGCGGCACTGAGGGATCACGTAAAACGTACGAGCCGCCTCGAGGGTACGTCTCCTTCCGGAAACCACGCCTGCGCTTTGAGTTCGATCCCAACCATCATCATACTCTCCACCACACCTTAGACATGCTCCAAGCCTGGCACGACATGTGTTGCCTGGTGCACGCCCTTCGATGCGCCACAGCAATTGGTTGCACAGGCTTAAGATGGGTTTCTAGGCTGCCTGAAAAGGAGGCAATATATTGGGTTCCGAGTCGGGCTCAGGTTGAGGTGAAGGCAACTTCGCAAGAGCTGCACAAGAGGTAGTGGGGGCGTGCTGGAAGAAGGCTGCATCGGAGTCGCGGAAAAGGGGATCATAGGGTTCCATGATCATGCCCGATAGAGTGAGATTTTTCAGATAAAGAATTTTTCAAAAGAAAAAGGTTATGATCAAAAGATTATGTCCGATGAAAGGGATGTTTGAGCAACACAAATGTCGGTTGTTTCAGATTATAGTCATGCTGAGCAAAATACACGCAAAACCAATCACTTACGGCTGCAGCCCACCTTTACAAGACTGTCAAGTGATTTGACGAACCGAAGGTGACAGAAATTCCGGGCTCGGGCCTAATGGTTTCCTGCCGTTTGCACAATGAAATGACAAGTATTTCCAGCAACACGACAAAAGCCAGCTATCGGCGATCCTTGCGCCTCTATTACCCGCTGCATTCAAAGGCTCATGCAAGTATACAGAGGGTCATGCGGATATAAAGGGTTTTGAGCTCCA